AGAAAGTCCAAAAGTAAAAATTAAACAACATCCGCTTAAACATGGGCACCAACCTAATTTCATGTAGTTGAGGATGGTGGTTCCTTGGTTCATGGCTAATCATTCACGAGTTTATTATACATTTTTCAATTTCATATATATATATATATATAGATTTTAACATTTAACAATTAGAGCACGTATGATGAGATTAGCGCAAGTTTTAAGAACCGTTAAGTTTTTCTTTCTTATTTAATTTATGTATAATTAGTTCTTCCATTCGTTGGAGCTTATATAATTTCATTAAATTCGTTATTTGATGTTAATTATTAAGCTAGATTGCTAAATAATAAAAAATTAAAAAATTAAAATAAGCCTAAATTTAAGCATATTATTCCATTATTGTTATTAATGAATGAAATTAAATTAGTTAAATGCTAGGTCATGCACGCACCTACTTATTTATAGTTTAGTAAACTGTTATATATAGTAAAGCTAAATATATACATGATAAATTACTTAAATTGTTAAATAACTAAAAAAACTATATACAGTAGATAATAATATAGGGTTATATCTGGCTATATATAATAAACTGAAACATATATATATGGCAAGTATTGTAGCTTTGAGGATGTACTTTCTATATTCTATGTATTCTCTCTCTATCTCTTTGTAGTTATCAATACAAAACCTTTAGCCAATATTCTCCTTGCATTTTTTCTATCGTATTCTTTGTGTTCATCTAGATCGAGTGTGTGCGTTGTTGTGCGATCCTAACAACTGGTATCAGAGCCTCGACGAAATTCACCACGATCTGTGAAGATGGAAAGCTTAAAGATTGGAATTGAGAAGTTCGATGGATCCGATTTCGATTTCTGGAAGATGCAGATTAAAGATTATCTGTACCAGAAAGATCTTCAGAACCCCTGTTGGGGGTGAAGCCAGATACCATGACCACAGAACAGTGGAAGCTCAAGGATTGACAAGCGTTAGAGTTTGGTTGACGCTATCAAAAAACGTGGCGTTCAACATCATCAAGGAGAAGACAACGCTAGATCTATTGAAGGCGCTGTCGAATATGTACGAAAACCATCAGCTATGAACAAGGTGTATTTGATGTGGAGATTGTTCAATCTACAAATGTCTGAAGGTGGATCTGTTATTGATCATATAAATGAATTCAATATGATCGTAAGTCAATTGAGTTTGGTGGAAATTAATTTCGAGGATGAAATTAAAGCATTGGTTTTGATGTCATCTTTACCCGAGTTGTGGGATACTGTTGTTGCCGCAATCAGCAGTTCTCGAGGATCTGATAAACTGAAGTTTGATGAAATTTGAGATGTAGTTCTCAGCGAAAGTATTCGCAAACGAGAAATTGAAAATTCATCTGGTGGTGCTCTCAGTGTTGACCAACGGGGAAGAAGTAAACCGAAGGACGATCAAAATCAAAGAACCGAGAAAAATCTTCAAATAGATCAAACGTAACATGTTGGAATTGTGGAGAAAAATGTCACTTTCGAACATATTGTACAAGACCAAAGAGGGAGCATAATCACAAATATGGAGATGATTCTATAAATTCAGGAGAAGACATTGGGAATACTCTAATCTTCAGCGTGAACAGTTTGATTGAATCCTGGATTTTGGATTCAGGTGCATCTTTTCATTCGTCTCCAAATAAAGAGTTATTCTGAAATTTCAAGCCTGAAAATTTCGAGGGGGTGTATCTTGCTGACAACAAAAATTTGAATATTAAAGTAAAAGGGGGTGTCTACATAAAAACTCCGGCAGGAAATCAGTGGACATTAAAGAATGCCAGATATATTCCTGGTTTCATGAAGAACCTGATCTCTATTTGTCAGTTGGATAGCACAGGTTATGCAACAGAGTCAGGGAAGAGTTCATGGAAGATTATGAAGGGTGTTATGGTGGTAGCACTTGACATAAAATCTAGAACTTTATACACCACTGCAGGGTGTATGAATATGACTGCTGTTGCTGAGAGTGCTTCAAATTCAAGTCTATGACACAATAGACTTGAACATATGAGCGTGAAAGGAATGAAGATGCTGGCTGCGAGAGGAGTTTTAGAAGGTCTGAAATCTGTTGATGTGGGTCGTTGTGAGAACTGCGTTATGAGCAAGCAGAAACAAGTTAGCTTCACAAGGACTGCCAGAGAATTGAAGAAAGTGCAGTTGGAAATGGTCCATACAGATGTAGAGCAAGATTCCAAGACAACGAAGCAAGTGGGCGTTGAGCTTGAGTTATAGGGAAACTCACCTAGTGATGTTGTAGCAGATACTCATGAAACTTCTAAGACTACTGGTGAGAAATCAGATGTGGAGCAAGGTTCCAAGACAACAAAGCAAGTGAGAGTTGAGGTTGAGTTCCGGAAAAAATCACCTAGTGATGTTGTAGCAGATACTCAAGAAACTCCTGAGATTGTTGCAGAGGAACCAGCAGTAGAGCAAGTGACACCTGAACCGGTGTTGAGAAGATCATCCAGTACTATTAGAGTACTAGATTTGAATGTACCTTCATTACACTATTTGTTGCTGATGAAAGGAACTAGAACCCTTTGATGAGGCCCCACAGTTTGAGGATACAACCAAGTGGGAGCAAGCCATGAATGATGGGATATCTAGGCTTAAAAAATGCGTTGTACTGAGGCTGAGTACGTGGCAATAACTGAAGCTGGAAAGAAGACGATATGTATGACTAACTATCTGGAAGAATTGGGCAAGAAGCAACACGAAAAGATTCTTTATAGAGATAGTGAGAGTGTTATACAGTTGGTGAGGAACCCGTTCTATCATTTAAAGATAAAACACGAAAGACGATACCATTTCATTTGCAGGTTAGTAGAAGATGGTGATGTGTTTTGAGAAGATAGAAGGTGCAAAGAATCTAACAAAAATGAGACAAAGTGTGTTGATGTTGGAATATTGAGGTTGTGCAAAGCTCAATTGGTATGGTGCACTGAAGATGCTCATGGTCGTTTGAGAATGAAATTCTTGGTTAACTAGATCAGTCTCCAAACAGAGAATTATTAGGTTATAGAGCCTGTTACTTATTTATAGTTTAGTCAAGGGTTATACAGATTAAAACTATGTAGATACATATAAAGTAAATTGTCATAAATAAATAGCTATTTACAGTAAAAAAAAAACTATATATAGTAGACAATTATATATAGTATATAGTAGACAGTTATATATAGTAGATGGCTATATCGGGTAAAACTATATATAATAAGCTGAAACATATATATTTCAAGGATGTACTTTCTATATTCTCTGGAACATATCTGTAATCATCGCAAAACCTTTAGCTAATATTCTCATTCCATTTTCTTTATCTTATTCTTTATGTTCATGTAGATGTGTGCTTTGGTGTGCAATTCTAACGTTAAATTATTTAAATGATTTAGCTTAATTTAACTGAACACCCTTAAATAATTTTTTTGTTTTGAATAATTTAATGTATAAAAATTAGCCAAAAAGGTAAATTATAAATTGAAAGCCTACTTTCCAATTATAATTTATAATTTTAGAGAGAATATAGAAAGTACATCCTTAATTTGATTTAGCTTAATTAAAGGTATAAACAGGTGATTTTTGTATAAAAATTCGCCAAAAAGGTGAATTATAAATGGAAGGCGTTTGGAATCTATGTTTAAAGCCTAGTAATTAATTATTTAGTTTTTATATTTAATTTTGATTAATTTATTTATAATTTCATCTTATCTATCATACGAAGAAAAATTAAGGAACAAGTAGAGGTTTAATTTCAACTTAAACATCTTCCTTTCTACACCAAAATAAAATAATTTGTCCAATTGAGGAAAAAAATCTACTATATTTTATTATTATTTATTATTCATTTTGGATCTACCCTTATTTATTTACTTATTTTTTATAGATAAATTTCATCTGTCATTTTGGAGACTGTCGTTTTCAAGAATATATTAAAAAGTAGGAGAATAATTTGATGACGATTTTTAAGCCGTTGAATGTAGAAAATAATTTAAATATATATTTTAAACTAATATTTAGTAGTTATTATAGATAGATAAAATTTAAATTTATATTGAACGGTGATAGTAATAAAAAAAAAATTATCAAAATGTCTCATTTTAGTTATCATAAAATTATGTATTATTCCAACAATGTCACGCGTAGGCTAATATTATATATATATATATATTTTTTTTATTAATTTTATATCTTATTGTAGTAAAATAAATTAGTTTATATTCATTTAAGATTTTTTAATAAAATATTTAATATTACATTCAATTTCAACTTGGTTTTTTTTAATGAAAAGAACGTGATTACTTATGGTGTATTTGGTGGAGTATATTTATAATATTATCAAAATAATTTTTTTTCAAGGGGAATAATATCAAATGTATATTTTGGTTCAAAAAAATATATTTATGGTACTTTTTTTTTTTACTCTTTCAAATTAGAAATGGAAAATATTATATTTATAATAATTAAATGGATTCTAGAAGCTGTTTCAAATCCGAATCAAAACCTAATTAAAAATTATTAAAAAAAATAGATAAATATATATTTCTAGTAAATTAATAAATTACCTTTCTGCAAAGTAGAAACTAGGTTATGTGGTTGAAATTGTTTTTTTTAATTATTTAAAAAAAAATTAAATATATATTACACTAATAATTAAAATATTATAACACTCAAATATGTTGCAATACATCATTAACATCGGTCAAATATTATTTGTGTTCGTAAAACAACTCAATCTTTACGAGTTGGATAAGATAAGGTAATCCAAATTAGTCGAATTATCATATAAGTAGTAACAAATTAGATAAGCTTTGGAGAATAATTTGATAATAACTCGGATTTAAAAACAAAAGAATAAAATAATTAAAAAAAAAAAGTTTGGTCAAAAAAACAATTTTGTGATTGGACGATGGAATGAAGTAGACATAGAACACGATGCACCCAAGTATTTTTTTCAATAATCAATTTCCGGATTTACCATAAATACCTTCCACATCCTTCTCTTCAATCCATTCATACACGTCTAACCAAAAAACGCTTCAAATTTCCCTTAATTTTTTAACAATGGCGTCGTCTAATTCTTGTTCCAAAGCCCATGAATCCGTACAATCATCACCATTTGCTTCTCGCTATGTTCAAAACCCAACCCCAAAATTTGTAATGCCTGAAAACTCCATGTCCAAGGAGGCAGCAGCTCAGATCATCAACGACGAGCTCATGCTAGATGGCAACCCACGTCTCAATTTGGCATCCTTCGTCACCACATGGATGGAGCCCGAATGCGACAAGCTCATCATGGACTCAATCAATAAAAACTACGTCAATATGGACGAGTACCCTGTTACCACCGAGATTCAAAATCGGTGTATCAACATGATCGCCCATTTATTCAACGCTCCATTGGGAGATTCCGATGTTGCGGTGGGAGCTGGGACGGTGGGGTCGTCAGAAGCCATCATGTTGGCAGGGCTTGCCTTCAAGAGGAAGTGGCAGAGCAAGCGGAAGAGTGAAGGGAAGGCTTTTGATAAGCCTAATCTTGTGACGGGTGCTAATTTTCATGTTTGTTGGGAGAAATTTTGTAGGTATTTTGAAGTGGAGTTAAGGGAAGTTAAAGTTAGAGAAGGGTATTATGTTATGGACCCTTTTGAGGCTGTTGAGATGGTGGATGAGAACACTATTTGTGTTGCTTCAATTTTTGGTTCCACTTACAATGGGGAATTTGAAGATGTGAAGGTGTTGAATGATTTGTTGATGAAGAAGAATAAGGAAAGTGGATGGGATACGCCTATTCATGTGGATGCGGCTAGTGGTGGGTTCATAGCGCCGTTCTTGTATCCAGAGCTGGAATGGGACTTCCGGCTTCCTTTGGTGAAGAGTATCAATGTGAGTGGGCACAAGTATGGGCTTGTGTATGCTGGGATTGGGTGGGTCATTTGGAGAACTAGACAAGACTTGCCTCAACAACTCATTTTTCATATTGATTATCTTGGAGCTCATCAGTCTACCTTCACTCTTAACTTCTCTAAAGGTAAAATTCCTCCACTTTTTTCCATTTTAATAATACCCTTGATTCAATTATTCTCATATTTGAATGATTTATTTTCAGGGTCCAGCCAGGTGATTGCTCAATATTATCAATTAATTCGTCTGGGTTTTGAGGTAAGGTTTGGTTTTTGCACAATTATATTACGAATTACGATTCTTTACAATTGTATGATATTTTGGATGAGGAGATTATGACAATCTTTTCAATTATTTATTCAGTTCCATGTTCCTGTTTAATATAATTCTTAGGAAAAATTGTTTGTTTCCGTTGAGCTAAAAAAGATGTGACGTCTCTAGTAAACAACCGACACTGTTTTAATAGTTATTCTGTTTTGCTTCAATCTCAGTTGTACAAAGTACACTACACCTCCCTCTAAAGAAGCCGTGAAGCCCTCAAACAACCTCCCCTTAATTGAGGCTCGCTCCTTTCTCTGGAGCCCTCGAACAAAGTCGAGGGTCCCAACTTCTTTGTTCTCTTTAATCGAGACTCGATTCCTTTCTCTAGAGTCTTCAAACAAAGTACACCATTTTTTCTAACACTTCAGTCACTTTTAACTACACTTTCAAAGGTCTTAGCTTCTTTGTTCAACATTTGAAGATTCTATTGACATGACTAAGTTAAGGATATGCCTCTAATACTATGTTTGGAATTGCGACTTTCTACAATGGTATGATATTATCGGACTCATACCAATGGAGATGTATTTCTTATTTATAAATTTATGATCATTCCCTAAATTAGCTAATATGTGATTCTCTCCCAACCAGGGATACCGCAAGGTGATGCAAAACTGTCGCGACAATGCCATGGCATTGAAGGAAGGACTACAAAACACGGGGCGATTCACAATAGTGTCAAAGGACATCGGCGTGCCAGTGGTGGCATTTTGCCTCAAAGACCGAAGTACCCACGACGAGTTTGAGGTGTCGGAGATGTTGCGGCGGTTCGGGTGGATTGTGCCCGCGTATCGAATGCCTAAGGGAGCCAAGCATGTATCCGTTCTTCGTGTTGTGGTTAGAGAAGATTTCTCCCGCGCCCTTGCAGAGCGGCTTTTGGTTGATATCATTAAGGTGTTGGCGGAGCTTGATACTCTTCCACCCAAAAGTGCTGCGAAAGCCATCGCCTTGGCGAAGGACGAGGATGCAGCGAATGATAGCGCAGTGAAGAAGACGGCAGAGGAGACAGAAATGGAAATTGTGAATGCTTGGATCGACATGATAACAAAGGCTACCAAAATCACTTGTTGCTGATTTTTTTTTTTTTTTTTTTTTTTT